TATAGACTAGACTATAGACTAGACTATAGACTAGACTATAGACTAGACTATAGACTAGACTATAGACTAGACTATAGACAGACTATAGACTAGACTATAGACTAGACTATAGACTAGACTATAGACTAGACTATAGACTAGACTATAGACTAGACTATAGACTAGACTATAGACTAGACTATAGACTAGACTATAGACTAGACTATAGACTAGACTATAGACTAGACTATAGACTAGACTATAGACTAGACTATGACTAGACTATAGACTAGACTATAGACTAGACTATAGACTAGACTATAGACTAGACTATAGACTAGACTAGATATAGACTAGACTATAGACTAGACTATAGACTAGACTATAGACTAGACTATAGACTAGACTATAGACTAGACTATAGACTAGACTATAGACTAGACTATAGACTAGACTATAGACTAGACTATAGACTAGACTAGACTATAGACTAGACTATAGACTAGACTATAGACTAGACTATAGACTAGACTATAGACTAGACTATAGACTAGACTATAGACTAGACTATAGACTAGACTATAGACTAGACTATAGACTAGACTATAGACTAGACTATAGACTAGACTATAGACTAGACTATAGACTAGACTATAGACTAGACTATAGACTAGACTATAGACTAGACTATAGACTAGACTATAGACTAGACTATAGACTAGACTATAGACTAGACTATAGACTAGACTATAGACTAGACTATAGACTAGACTATAGACTAGACTATAGACTAGACTATAGACTAGACTATGGACTAGACTATAGACTAGACTATAGACTAGACTATAGACTAGACTATAGACTAGACTATAGACTAGACTATAGACTAGACTATAGACTAGACTATATACTAGACTATAGACTAGACTATATACTAGACTATAGACTAGACTAGATTATAGACTAGACTATAGACTAGACTATAGACTAGATTATAGACTAGACTATAGACTAGACTATAGACTAGACTATTGACTAGACTATAGACTAGACTATTGACTAGACTATAGACTAGACTATAGACTAGACTATAGACTAGACTATAGACTAGACTATAGACTAGACTATAGACTAGACTATAGACTAGACTATAGACTAGACTATAGACTAGACTATAGACTAGACTATAGACTAGACTATAGACTAGACTATAGACTAGACTATAGACTAGACTATTGACTAGACTATAGACTAGACTATTGACTAGACTATAGACTAGACTATAGACTAGACTATAGACTAGACTATAGACTAGACTATAGACTAGACTATAGACTAGACTATAGACTAGACTATAGACTAGACTATAGACTAGACTATAGACTAGACTATAGACTAGACTATAGACTAGACTATAGACTAGACTATAGACTAGACTATAGACTAGACTATAGACTAGACTATAGACTAGACTATAGACTAGACTATAGACTAGACTATAGACTAGACTATAGACTAGACTATAGACTAGACTATAGACTAGACTATATAGACTAGACTATAGACTAGACTATAGACTAGACTATAGACTAGACTATAGACTAGACTATAGACTAGACTATAGACTAGACTATAGACTAGACTATAGACTAGACTATAGACCAGACTATAGACTAGACTATAGACTAGAATATAGACTAGACTATAGACTAGACTATAGACTAGACTATAGACAATACTATAGACTAGACTATAGACTAGACTATAGATTAGGCTATAGACTAGGCTATAGACTAGACTATATAATCATTATATATATAGAGTTTATACTACATCAATTCTGATGTAGTATTATAGACCAGTATAATTATAATATAATTATTTCTTCAGAATTGATGTAGTATAAATCTTCCTATCAACCAACCTAAAACAAGAATGTGAAAAAAAACGTAAAATGTTCATGGGTTATATCCGAATTTTGTTCATATCTCCGTTATTTATGGACCAATTTTACTGATATAACTTCTGACTTAACTTCTCGAAAACATGTCTGATAGAATTATTGAAGGTTCGCAGCTCGCAGATACCTGGGGTCTTCTGAAATCTGATTTCAACATACAGTTACCTATAAGAACTTTTATGTATGAAAGCCTACTAAACCCTTCTCACGAAATCTGATTTCAACATACCGTTACCTATAAGAACTTTTATGTATGAAAGCCTACTAAACCCTTCTCACGAAGATGAAAGATATAAAAACGATATAATTTACAATTTACAGATTTACATTTTTTCCCAAAATTTCTGTGCTTGGAAAAAATCACTTAAATGGTCATTCCAACTACAGTGGAGTAGGGTATATGTGCACAAGTATGTAGTTTTATTTTCTCAATTTTGCTAATACTAGTAGAGTATTATTAATTAGAACATTTAATAGATGCATGACAAATAGTGCGTATTCCTGAAACAGTAACTACTTACAACAGTCAATAACAGAAAAAAAGGTGTTACTCGTAGAATTATTTGTTTTTATTATTGTTTAAATCAGCTTGGTTATTATTTTGTATTTAACATATAAAAGCTAAATGAAATTAACAAATATCGAGCATTTTACTAAGTGATTTAACAATAGAAAGTTGATTGTTTTTCGGAACAACTAAAGTGAAGTAAAAAATTTCAAAGGAAAACTGTTAAATATCAACACAAGTTTTTAAAATTAAATATATTAATTAAATAGATAATTAGCAATAATTTAAGGTAAGTTTAAGAGATAGAATTTATCCCACCGCAAGTCTCTATACAAAATATTTTTTTTCTCGTCCACAGCATGTATCCAGTTTCAACAATTCTCTTAGCTATCCTGCTCACAACAGTGGCTCTAACATCTACAGCTCCTTTAGATTTGGACTCGAATAATTCAATTATATTTTATACAAATTCACCCTTGATAAGACATTTATACAAAAGAGATTTAACTTCTTTGGCGGATAATGTATTACAGGAAAATCCTAATGAATTTGCGGATAAAGATTATGATATGGAATTGGCTGAGGTAAATGTGTTTAGACCAGTATTTCGTTATCGTGCTTCGTATGCCAGAAGAGGTGGTTAATAACCTTTAATTTTTAGATCTTTTAGAATTAATATTTTTAGTACAAGATTTTAATATTTATTTTAAACAAAAAAAGATAAAAAATTTATGAGCAAAATACATATAAAATAAATGCAACTAATTTATTTATTAATAAGAAATTAAATTTTGAGTTTTTATTATTTGAGCTTGGTTGTCGTTAGAAATCATTCTAAATAATAGCAATTGAACAAATTTATACATACATATATGTATAGATGTTGATAACTCACCAACGATATAGGCTATGACGAATCATATATACCCGGTATTAATTACCGATATTTACTCACATGTATTTAGCTTCAGTTGTATTATCATATACATACATATGTATATGAGTATGAGAATAATTTTCGGAAGAAATCTTGAGTCAAAAAAGTTGATAAAATATATAGTTATAATCCAAAAAAATATTCTTTTTTGTTTGGATTATAACTTAGTTAGTTAGTTAGTTAGTTAGTTAGTTAGTTAGTTAGTTAGTTAGTTAGTTAGTTAGTTAGTCAGTTAGTTAGTTAGTTAGTAGTTAGTTAGTTAGTTAGTTAGTTAGTTAGTTAGGTAGTTAGTTAGTTAGTTAGTTAGTTAGTTAGTTAGTTAGTTAGTTAGTTAGTTAGTTAGTTAGTTAGTTAGTTAGTTAGTTAGTTAGTTAGTTAGTAGTTAGTTAGTTAGTTAGTAGTTAGTTAGTTAGTTAGTTAGTTAGTTAGTTAGTTAGTTAGTTAGTAGTAGTTAGTTAGTTAGTTAGTTAGTTAGTTAGTTAGTTAGTTAGTTAGTTAGTTAGTTAGTTAGTTAGTTAGTAGTTAGTTAGTTAGTAGTTAGTTAGTTAGTTAGTTAGTTAGTTAGTTAGTTAGTTAGTAGTAGTTAGTTAGTTAGTTAGTTAGTTAGTTAGTTAGTTAGTTAGTTAGTTAGTTAGTTAGTTAGTTAGTTAGTTAGTTAGTTAGTTAGTTAGTTAGTTAGTTAGTTAGTTAGTTAGTTAGTTAGTTAGTTAGTTAGTTAGTTAGTTAGTTAGTTAGTTAGTTAGTTAGTTAGTTAGTTAGTTAGTTAGTTAGTTAGTTAGTTAGTTAGTTAGTTAGTTAGTTAGTTAGTTAGTTAGTTAGTTAGTTAGTTAGTTAGTTAGTTAGTTAGTTAGTTAGTTAGTTAGTTAGTTAGTTAGTTAGTAGTTAGTTAGTTAGTTAGTTAGTTAGTTAGTTAGTTAGTTAGTTAGTTAGTTAGTTAGTTAGTTAGTAGTTAGTTAGTTAGTTAGTTAGTTAGTTAGTTAGTTAGTTAGTTAGTTAGTTAGTTAGTTAGTTAGTTAGTTAGTTAGTTAGTTAGTTAGTTAGTTAGTTAGTAGTTAGTTAGTTAGTTAGTTAGTTAGTTAGTTAGTTAGTTAGTTAGTTAGTTAGTTAGTGTTAGTTAGTTAGTTAGTTAGTTAGTTAGTTAGTTAGTAGTTAGTTAGTTAGTTAGTTAGTTAGTTAGTTAGTTAGTTAGTTAGTTAGTTAGTTAGTTAGTTAGTTAGTTAGTTAGTTAGTTAGTTAGTTAGTTAGTTAGTTAGTTAGTTAGTTAGTAGTTAGTTAGTTAGTTAGTTAGTTAGTTAGTTAGTTAGTTAGTTAGTTAGTTAGTTAGTTAGTTAGTTAGTTAGTTAGTTAGTTAGTTAGTTAGTTAGTTAGTTAGTTAGTAGTAGTTAGTTAGTTAGTTAGTTAGTTAGTTAGTTAGTTTGTTGTTTGTTTGTTTGTGTTTAGTTTTTCTTATTTTCAATCCATTTGCTTAACCTCCAATGATATTATATCAACTCTGTTTTTTCTTATTTCACAATATTTTTAGAAAAGAAATGTGGCAACATTTATTGAATTCGTTCAACTAGTGGCAACCTTACGGCAATGATTATTTTTCACGTTTTGTTTTGTTTAGTTTTCCATTGTTCTTAAAAAAACAAACGTTTTAAGTGGAAGGAAAAACTTTATTTTAATAGGCAATATTAAATACGCAAATATTACTATTTTGGAAGATTACACTATTTAACAATAATTGATAAAAATTCTATGAGTGTACAAATAAAAATTGGTTTACATTCAACAAAACTTTAATCATAAAATAGATAATTAAATTGTGCAACAAAAAAATAAAAAGAAAATACTGATTCATAAATTTTTATTGAAAAATATTTGTTGAGTGACGAAATAAAAAAATAAAAGTAAAAATACAAGATTTGTAATTGTGTATAGAAGAAAAAGAGGGAATTCCCCGAAAATCAACATTTTAAGAAAGTATAATCGGCACACAACTACAGATTGATTTTTATTCACTTTAGTTACGTTGATTTGTTCAGATTTTTCACAAGTTGTTTTTTTATAATTTGTGAACAATGTCTGATGAAGAATCATTTGTTATATTGGGCTCATCACCCATGTCCTCATTGGAAATTGATGGTGTGGAAACCAAGAAGAACTCGTTAACATCTTTAGAATCCGATACCCCGGGCAGCCGTTTTACATCTTTAAAAAAGAGTCAAATTAGCGATTTACATAATGCTCAAGAAATGGCGACACAAACACATGAAGAAAATCTCACACAGCCTGAAATGGCTATTTCTAGGGAGAAAAGTCTTATCAAGGAAGTCGCACATAGCAGTTTACAAAATATAATGTCTGAACCTAAGACGGGAATGGAAATTATGGCACCAAAACCAGAAATGGCTGAAGAAGTAATAAAAATGCAAAAATTAAACATTTCTGAACAGAAATCCTTATCAGCAGAAGAAATTGCTGCCAGCAAATTATGGAGCAGGCAACCACAGGTCCAAGTAGAAGAACATATGATGCCATTTAGTTTAGAAGATTGTGCTGTAAAATCACCTTTCCAAAAGGAACAGCAGATGGAGAAAAGTATCAGAGAGAAAATGAACAACTCAACAAATACAAATAATAAGAGTATAAATGAAACTGGCAAATCTTCTAACTCTAGCAACACAACACCTCCAATATCGGTTGGCAGTAATTTGGCTTCAAGTTTTTTAATGGGAGAAGTCAATGCAGATGTTTTAAAGGTAATTTTTTGAGCGTACTTAATAATGAACTGTTATTAGTTTATAGCCTTATCTAATAGATTGTTTATAATATTGTATCAGACCTCTATTAGTATCATTTTCAAATATTTTTGGCTCCTTTTGGCTCTCTAAATACACCAAACAGCTGTTTAAATGTTAATTTTATTTCCATTTTATATGTTTTCTAAAACTATAATATAGTCTATAATGTTGATGTTTTCTATTTAATCATATACATACCGATTTATTGTTTTGTTTATATTATTAGAAACCAGGGGAAATCCCCAACTCATACAAGGCTTTGTATTGTTTTCAAAACAAATATATATATATATGTATGTTGTATATATATTGTAAAAATTGATAAAGAGAAGCTAGTTTTAGATGAGTATTGGTTTCATAGTAAACTGTACTACGAAAACAAAGGATAGTACAATAAAATAAATGACCTATTCCACTACTAATCTAAATTGCTGTATTATATAGAAAAAATAGAATTAAACTAAGAAATTTTGCTTTCAAATGATTAAGAGTAAAGCTACGATATCTAGAATAAGGCTAACATAATCATTAAGCATCATAAATAAAGAAATAAAAGTAAATAAAAATCTACAATTTCTTTTACAGACCAGTGTATACTCTCAGTTTCCCAGTATCTCAATGGAGGCATGTGCAGAGGATGTAGTTAAATTACAGAACATGGTCAGCGAATATTCGGTATTGAAAAGTAAGCTTTAAATAAACATTTTTTTTTGCTAAATACCTCTACAACAACTTTTTTATAATTGTTTTTTTAGATACAATTAAAAAAGCCAATATCACAATGAAACAATTCTATAATAGTTCACTACAATGGAAGGAAAAAATGAGAACAATGGAAGAAGAATACAAACAAAAATTGAACAAATGTCATGAAGAAATTGATGTGGTAATTGTATAATATTATTATAGCTCTTGAAGTGTGCAGTTTCTGCTTAATGCTTTTAAGCAAAACGTAATGATTTTATTTTAGAATATCTAGGATATGAAAAAAGAGCTCACCTTTTTGAAATATTTCTTTTTTCTATATAATTTTACTACTAGAAAGTTTTCATCATACACTGTTCTAGATAATAAACTAATCTAGAGTCTAGAGTAGAAAGTAAGTCATAGACTAAACTATAATATAGACTAAACTAAAATTCAACAAATTTAATTTAACTTAATATACGGCCAAAGTAAAGCAATACGTTTTGTTTAAAAGCATTAAGTAGGAACTGTACACTTCACTATTTATGACATTATTATTATATTTTCCATGTTAAAAGTAAATGAGTATGATAAATTGTTTTATCTTCTCAAAAATTATTTTTTTTATAATAACTACATTTCGTTACCTATCCAATAACGTTTTTTTCTTTCAAAAGTTACGCAAACAGAATCAAGTAATGGAAAGTACTTTTAAGGGACAAATTGAAGCCTTAGAAATTGCACGCAAAAAAGATCGAGAAGAAACTATACAGGATATATCCGAAAAGAATGCATTAATCGAAAATATGAGAGCCCAAATAATTAAATTAGAACAGCAACAATTAGTAAGTACAAACAAATAAATCGAAGTATTAGTTCTTTAAACAATAACCTCTTTTAGGCCTCCTTTGAATTTGTGGCCCAAAATCAAAGCGAACAGAAAAATGAACAATTTCAACAAGTGTTCATAACACGAAATGAACACGAACTTAAAATGAAACAACTCGAAAGACAATTATCCGAAATGGTCGCTTCGAACTTAGATCTTAAAGATGTCGAGAATCAATATGTAGACGAAATAAATTGCCTAAAAGTCAATTTAACAGCGGCCGAAGAGTTAATTAAAAAACATCGTAATGAAATCGCCCAGTTGCATGTACTCGATATAGAAAGGCAACAACAAATCGAAAAATTAGAACAATCCTTAGGAGAATTGCGCGTAACGAATGAGGAACAAAGTGAACGCATAACACTGTTGGAACATCAAAACGAGGTACATCGTAAGGATTTCGAAATGGAACAGGAAAGTCGCCAGACGGCTGTACAGGAAAAACAACAAATTCTGCAGGATTTACGAATATTACAAAGAAAAAATCAAGAACTAATTGAAGAACATCAAAAAATAGCGGAAAACTATCAGAAGAGATTATCTACAGTCGGTACAGCAGATGCTATGTGCATGTCTGCGGCAGCAGCTTCAGCTCAATCGTATATTAATAACCCTCAAAGACCCATAAGAGTAAGCCATGTCAGTTATTGTTTTTTGAACATGTTTGAAATTTACCTTAAATATAAATTTCGTTTTCTCTTTTAGACTTTACCTTCACCGTCATCCGTTCCCGCTGCACCAACTACTGCACCGCCAGTCGCTATGCATCTGTGTCCCATTTGTAATAAAGCTTTTAGGACATTGAATATTTTAACAAGTCATGTTAATGATTGTATAGATAAAAATTAAGTATCAACATTTAACCATAAAAATATATGTATTTCTATATTCTATAGGTGTGTTAATTCATTAATCAGCGAGTAAAAATCAATATCAAAACGTGCTGTTTGATTAAAAATTTTTCAATTTATGAAAAAATACAAGAAATATTTATATTTGTTTTTTAGTTCTTAAAAAATACCCTGTGCGCTTTGGCATAAATTAATTATAAATACTAATATTATTTCTTTTTGAAATGAAGAATCATGTAAATAAAAGAATCATTTCAATAAAAAATTAATTTACTCATAATGGGTTTTGTTTCAGTTATAATTCCAACAATATTATCTTGAGTATATATTTAATTTGTATAGACAAAATAAATATCGAAATTTAGCTCCCGGAATACAGGTGAAGTATGATTTTGAAAAATACCAGGAATTGATTTTATTTCTGATTGAAGACTATATTTAATTTAAATAATTTCTCTGTGTTTAGTTTATCGAAAACTTAAATTTATTCTGCTTTGCTACTTTATGTTAATATCATTCCTATTTACACCTGAGTGAATTTGGACTCAACCTAGACTGGAATAGAACTGAACTAGATCTTAACAAGAAATGAACTAGAATTGAACTAATCTAGAACTGAAATAGAACTAAACTGGTACTGAGCTAGAAATGAAACAGAACGGACTCAGAATTTAACTAGAACTATAATACAACTGATCTAAACCGAAACTGATCTAAAAATGAAACAGAACTGAGCCCAAACGGAACTAGAAGAGAACATGAGGTGATCTTGTAATGATCTAGAACTGATCTTGAATAGCTCGTGAAATGATCTAGAACTGAACTAGATATAATATAGAACTGAACTAGAATTGAACTAGGACTGAAATAAAACTAGACATAAAATGGACTGGAACTGATGTAGAAATAAAACTGGAACTATAATAGGACTGAACTAAACTAAACTGAAACTGATATAAAAATGAAACAGAATTGAACCCGAACGGAAATAGAACAGAGCATGAAGTAATCCTCAAAAGTACTAGAACTGAACTGGGAATTGATCTTGAAAAGATCTAGAACTGAATTTGAACTAGAACTAATGTAAAACTGAACTAGAACTATAAACTAAACTAAAACTGATCTAAAAATGAAACAGGACTGAACCGAAACGGAACTAGAAGAGAACACGAACTGATTTTCAAAAGATCTAGAACTGAACTTAAAGTGGTGGTGAAATGATCTAGAACTGAACTAGAATTGAACTAAAACTAAACATAAAATCGACTAGAACTAATCTAGAAATGAAACTTGAACTATAATAGAACTGAACTTAACTGAAACTGATTTAAAAATTAAGCAGAATTGAACTTGAACGGTACTAGAACATGAACAGATTCTAAAAAGTATTAGAACTGAACTAGAATTGATATTGAAAAGATCTAGAACTTAATTTGAATTAGTTCTAGAACTGAGCTCAAACTATAAACTTAACTGAAACTGGTCTAAAAATGAAACAGTACTGAACCCAAACGGAACTAAACCAGAACATGAAAAGATCTGGAACTGATCTAGAATTGAACTGGGACTGAACTTGAACTAAACTAAAAGTAAACTTGAATTGATCTAGAGCTGAACTAGAACTAATCCAGAATTGAGCTAGGACTGAACTAGAACTAAACTTAAAATGGTCTAGACATGAAACAAGAACTATAATAGTACTAAAGTATACCGAAACTGATCTAAAAATGAAGCAGAACTGTATACGAACTGCTACAGAACATAATGTAGAACTGCACTACAACAAAACTAGAACAGAACTGAAACATACCTAGAACTAAAGTAGAACGGAACTAAGACTGGATTAGAACTGTGCTAAAGTAATAGCCTAGAGTTCACTGCTAGCATAGAACTTATAATTTTAAAGAAATCTATAGCCAAAGTTTATTCGTCCTTGTCGAGATAGTGGATGCTGGTTGTTATTTATTAATAATCAGCTGCTCTTTACAGATATTAGTGGCCCTAAGTTCGCTCTGGGTTAATGAGGTCATTACTTTATGCCGATAGCATATATGATTAGTTAGTGCATAAACAAAGTAATCGCTAACAGCTGCACTCTGATTGTACAATAGTTGCCCAGTCCAGGCTTCATTATTAGAATTAAGTTGATTACAAGTAAATATTTCGTATGTGCGTATAAAGGTTTATTTAACATAAAAACATAATTATTTATATATATAATGTAAAATAGTATTGTATATGTATATAATAAACATGTATAATTATTGTTAATAACAAAAAAAAAACACACATAATTAGCATTTTATAATTTACTAATTATGGGAGGAGGAGCCAATGACCAAACACGCTGTATATCTTGATTAGCTACTAAATTATTTAAAATTCGTAGATCTAAAAATAAAAATAAGTACATAAATGAAATTGTCAATAAATTATAAGAAAAATGCTCACCATTTGTTTTAGCATAATCCTCCAAAATGGAACGTATCGATATTATAGGCACTGCACTATTTATATTTGGATAAACTACATTATCCATTTTAATATTCGACACACAAATGCCCATTATACAGCCGTGTTCATCAAACATGGGACCACCACTTTGGCCAGCCTGTACACAGCCATCTGACATTATAGCAGCTGGTGTATATTTTATAATGCGACCTTGAAATATCGAAGGATTGAAGTCGTATTTTAAATTGAAATTAACAAAATAAGGAAAGCCAGCATTGTAAACAGTTTGACCCAAGCTCGGTTTTGATTGGGCCAAACGTACGCAGTAGCGTTCGGGAATGTTGTCCGGGGCAGAGAGAAGTGCCACATCGAAGGCTGTGTCATAGTGAGGATTACGCCAAAGAACATCGGCTTCAAATTCGCCGTCTACACCGCGGCAGGCTACTTTTGAATTGACCTGTAATATGTAGTAAGTGATAAGAAGTGAAACAAACATTTAAATTAACTATGATCAAGATCTACTAACAAAATCGAATAACTCTACCTGAAACACTACATGCGAACAGGTCAATATGAATCTCTTATTCTGGACTTTAACAAAAGTTCCAGTGCCCTGGCTACCAGCCGCTTCTATAACTACCATAGTACGTTCCCCTATAACAAACAACAAATATAACATTAAACAGTTGACAACAAGTCATAGTTGGATTAATTACAGGCAAAATTGGACGGTTCTCTGGGCAGCATAATAGTGGTGATTTTTATGCCCAATTGATTCATAAAATCCCTTAATAAATGTGCAAAATTAGCTGCCATAGTCATTTGAAGATTTTCGTTATTACGCTGAAAAGCCGTGCATATGATGAGACCAATTAAACGCCTAAAAGAGAGTTAATAGATATAATAAGTTCAATTCTAGTCCAGTCCTAGATCAGTTCTAGTTAAGACATATTTTATTGCTGATTAACTTCTATTTTAGTTTTAGTTCACTTTAAGATCACTTTTAGTTTAGTTATAGTTGCGGTTCAATTTTAGTTTACTATTAAATACTTACAATTTATTATTAAACACCGCTGAACCCTCACATCCCAAAGGTAAATTGTTGGACAACACAAATAGGGAACCATCTTTTCCAATAACATTGGATACCTTGCCAATACTGATGGTTTTATAAAAATTTTCCATACCAAAAGGTGTACACATGGTCAGTACATCATCCAAAGGTCTAATGGGATATTTATATCTCAAATAATGGGCTATATGTTCAAAAAATTTTTCAAAACGTTCAGGAGAATCTATAGATTTAGCCGGACGCATAGTCAATATCAAAAATGACGTCAACAGCACTTCATTGTGATCTTTAGTTGACGTATTATTAAAGCTTATGGAATTTAACATTTTGTGCAAATTTCTGGATATTTCTTGCGAACTAAATACGTATAGAAGTTTCGCTCGATATCTGGTTAAAATATGCGGAACATTGGCATTGCGTTCGGTAACAGCAACTGGTAACTTACGGCGATCAAAAGTAACCTGATAGCTAAGGGAGTTTAAATGCTGAGCCTCCTCACTTTGACCATCCTGAGCATTGACCAATTTACACTGTTGCAGTTTGTGTATGATTTTTGTGCTGGCGCAGACATTTTCATTAGTATGATCGGCCACAAATGGTAGCATGGGTCTGATGTAGGGTTGTAGTATACAGCCAGATGTAATGATAACTTCATTATTGATAATAATTGCAGATTGTTTGGCATTAGGATGGTTGGTCACCTCCAATAAAGCGTGACGTATTTTCAGTAACATTTTAGGTATACTTGTTTGTGCAGTTTGTTTACATTAACAAAATATGTGCTAAAATATACAATATACAATTTTTTTTAAATTGTTGAAGAAAGTGTTTTTAATTTAACTTACCGTTTTCAAGCCTGTGTATAATACAAATATCTTTATCATTCCAGAAAGTCCATAAGTCCAAGCGTATTTGTCAGAGATAACAAGTTCTTTTTATGTGTACACCATTTTAACAAGATTTTCGTGTTTCAGGCAAAATATCCAAACAAATTTGAAATATTCTGAATTGTTTTCTTAATTTACTTAATTTTTAAACAAATAACAAGATTTTTGTAAAAAAATAATGCAAATTAGTTAAATTAAATAGTAATTGTTTTGTTTATGCGTTTATTTTTCGTTTTCTTTGTTTTCTTTATATTTTACTTTCACAATAAATACAATGTTGTTAACAGAAGCATGGTAACAACTCTGTAATAGATTAACATATAATTTTTTGAAAGGTTACCTGCTCGTTTAAATTTTGTTCATTTTTTTTAGTATTTTATATATTATGTGGTGTCAGAAAACTTATTTCGGTAACCATGTTTTATTGATAACAGTTGTAGAGCTAAATAAAATTTTTATGATAAAAAAGCTTGAAGAAAATTGTTATTTTATTTCATTTTTGTCAACTTTTTTCACGTTACCACATTTAAGCGATTTTTCATTTCAAACATAAATTTCTGGCAACATTATATTTTACAGCTGTAAAAATAAAACAAAAACACAACCAATCATTTGTTTACTTTTATCCAATTGCAAAATAAAACTAGGAAACTGCAATAAAAATGATAAAATCATTGTTATTAATATTATTAGTCATTACCCTAGTTGCTGGTGTAGCCCACGACTGTACAACACTGTTGATGGGTCAGTATTTATGTCCAGATCCTAGTAGAAAACAAATTGATCCCAAAACGCAACAATTCTATGGTTGTCAACAAACAGGAGTGGCCAAAGGTAAAGTTTATTTCAAATTCTATCGAAT